AGTTGGTCCATGCAAGTAGTAACTAAAATAGACCAAATGTGGCTATACTAATATCGGACAAAATAAATTTTGTCAAAAAAGATTTTAAGAGACAAAGAAGGACATTATATATTAATAAAAGATACAGTACAGCAAGAAGATATAATAAGTATAAACATTTATACACCTAAGGACAGACTATCAAAATACATGAAGCAAAAACTGACAGAATTGAAGAAAGAAATAGTTCTACAATAATAATTGACTTCAGTACCCTACTCACAATAATAGGTAGAACAACCAAACAAGATAAGTAAAGAGAGGATTTAAACACCACAATAAACCAACTATATTTCATATATATAAAACCTTGTACCCAAACAACAAAATACACATTCTTTTTAAGTGCACATGGGGCATTTTCCAGGATAGACCATATATTAGGTCACGAATTAAGTCTCAATAGATTTTAAAGAGTATCATACCAAGTATCTTTTCCAACCACAACAGAATGAAATTAGAAACCATTAACAAATGGAAATCTGGAAAATTCAGAAAATCGAAAATTAAATAACACTTTAAACAACTAATGATCAAAGAAATCACAAGAGAAATTAGAAAATACTTAGAGACAAATGAAAATGAAAACACAACATACCAAAACTTATGGGAAACACAGAAGTGGTGCTTAGGGAAAAATTTATGGCTATATAGCAGTCCTTTCACATACACAGGGGATGTGTTCCAGGACCCTTAGTGGATACATGAAATCACAGATAGTTCTGAACTCTATATATGCTGTTTTTTTTCTATACATACATACCTACGATAAAGTTTAAAATTAGGAACAGTAAGATTAACAATAACCATAAAATAGCACTGATGAAGTTTAATTTATAAATTAGGAACAGTAAGAGATTAACAACAATAACCATAAAATAGCACAATTATAACAAGATACTGTAAAAAAAAAGTTATGTGAATATGGATAATAAAGATTACTTGAAATAGAGAATAAAAAAACAGAAAAATCAATGAAACTAAAAGTTGGTTCTTCAAGATAAACAAAATTGACAAACCATTAGCTAGATGGACTATGAAAAAAGAGAAAAGGCTCAAATTATTAAAATCAGAAATGAAGGTAGGGACATTACAGATTCTACAGAAATAAAGTTTATAAGAAGAATAGTGTGAACAATTTACCAATAAATTGAATAACTAGGATAAAAACCACATGATCATCTCATTTGAGGAAAAAAAGTGACAAAATTTAGTACCCTTTCTTGACAAAAACAACCTAGGAATAGAAGGAAACTACCTTAATACAATAAAAGCCATATGTGGAAAGCCCACAGTGAACACCATACTTATGGTGAAAAACTGAAAGCTTTGCTTCTGAGATAAGGAACATAGCAAGAATGACTACTTTCACTACTTTTCAATATAATATTGAATGTTTTAGCCATATCAATTAGCCAGGAAAAAGAAAGGGCTTTCAAATTAGAAAAGAATAAATAAAAGTATCTGTTTGCAGATGAGATGGTCTTATATGTAGAAAATTCTAAACATTCCACAGAAAAACCATGTTAGAATTAATGAATTAAGCAATGTAGCAGATTACAAAGTCAATATGCAGAAATCTTTTGCATTTTTATACATGAACAGCGAACAATCCAAAAAGGAAATTATGATAACAATTCTATTCATAATAGCATAAAAAAGAATAAAATACTTAGGAATTAACCAGGAAAGTGAAAGACTTATACAATGAAAACTACGAAAGATTGCTGAAAGAAGACAAATTAAAACACATCTTAACATTCATAGATTGGAAGATTTAATATTATTACAGTGTCAGTTCTTTCCAAAGTTGTCCACAGACTCAATGCAGTCCATATCAAAACTTCAACTGCTGTTTTTGCAGATAAATCCATCCTAAAAATCCATATGGAATCTCAGAGTACCCTATATAGGCACAACATTCATGAAAACAAGAACTGTGGTACTCACACTTAAGATTTCAAAACTTACTGCAAAGCTACAGTAATCAAAACAGTGTGGAATTGGCATAAAGACAAACACACACCAATGGAGTAGAATGGAGAGTCTAGAAATATACTGTCACATATAGGATCAAATGATTTTTGACAAGGGTGCCAAGACCACTCTATGGGGAAAGGACAATCTTTTCAAAAATGGTGCTGGCAAAACTTGTGATATCCACGTTATTCAAAAATTACTTCAGAGTGGATCAACGACCTAAAGCAATGAAAACCTTAAAAGAAAACGTAAGACTTCACAACATTTATTTCGCTTCCTGATGTAAGATTTAGCAATGAATTCTTGGATATGATACTAAGAGACAGATAACAAAAGAAAAAATAGACAAATTGGGCTGCATGCAAATTTAAAAATTATGTGAATTTAATGAAACTACAGTAAAAAGGCGATCCACAGAATGGGAGGAAATATTTACAGGCCACATGTCTGATAAGGGATTAATAACCAGAATATAGGGAGAACTACTAAAACTCACCCAGAAAAATTTAAATAACCCTATTCAAAAATGAGGAAAGAACTTGAGTAGACATTTCTCCAAAGCAGATATGCAAATGGTCAATAAACACATGAAAAAAGGCAGAAAACAAGTATTAGGATGTGGGGAAATTGGAACTCTTGTGCATCATTGGTGGGAATGTAAATGGTACAGCCACTGTGGAAAATGGTATGGAGGTTCTTCAAAGAATTAAAAATAGAAATACCATATGATTCATCAGTTTCACTTTTGAGTATTCACTTAAAAGAATTGAAAGCAGTATCTCAAAGACATTTATACACCTGTGGTATAGCAGCATTACTCAAATAGCTTAAATGTGGAAGCAATCCAGGTGTCTGCGGATGGACCAATGGACAAGCAAAATGCAGTATATACATACAATAGAATATTACTCAGACTTAAAAAGGAATGACATCCTTCAATTATTACAACATAAATGAACTTTGAGGACATTATTATTTGTGAAATAATCTAGTCACTTGAAAACAAATACTCTGTGATTCCACTTATACAAAACATTTAGTCAAAATCATAGAGACAAAGTATAAAGGTGAATGCTGAGGTAGGAGAAATGGGGAGTTATTGTTTAGTGGGTACAGAATTTCAGTTTTTACAAGATAAAAAGTTATGGGGGTGGATGGTGGTGATGGTTGTACAACAGCGTGAATGTGTTTTAATACCACTGAACTGCATTTAAAAATAGCTAAAATGGTAAATTTTATGTATTTTACATATAAAAATTAAAATACTGCAAGTTTATTTCAGATTAATATCTGTATTATGTTCCAATCTGTTCTTCATGCTACCACCAATTTGTCTTCCTAAGACACTACTTTGTTTATATCATTTCTGTGCTCAAAAATTTTCATTGGCATCTGGTGTCTGGCCTCTAGGTCTATCTTTGTATCCTTACCTCACATTGTAAAAATCATATATTACCTAATTAACTACTTTACTTTCTCCTAACTCTATCTGCAACCTTTGGGTTCCTATACACTTGCTATTCCTACCTTTAATTTCTGTTATTTTCCCCCTTTTTTTCCTAATGTGTAAATCTTTTTTAAGGACCTTCCCCCTTTTTTTCCTAATGTGTAAATCTTTTTAAGGACCTTTCCCCCTTTTTTTCCTAATTTGTAAATCTTTTTAAGGACATCTTCTACATGCTCCACTTATGGTGGGTTCTTTTCCAAAGACCTATAGCTTTTATTGAATAAACAGTTCATTTAATAGTTGGCGCTGGCTGATATTTGTTGGTGTGCACTTGTCTTATTTCCCCAAATATCTCTAAGTTTAATTGGTTCAGAGCTATATCTTAAGTTTATTTGTAATTACCCACTTGACTTAATAACATGAATCGATTGATATTTTGTGAAGAAGAAGTGAAGATGCTCTTCAAGTAAATTTCAGAACTGTGTGTCAGATTCTAGAGTATCTGGCAGTGTTTCTGAAGAAGATACACTTGATATTCAGATTGGGTACTAGCCCTTGTTAAATTTTTTTAGAGCAGTTAAATATTGTACCAGTACAGTTTTTTTTTTTTTTTTTTTGGTAAGGTGACTTTGTTTATATATTCAGGCAATAAAATAATTTTGAGAAATTTGGATCTTAATTTTTTTTTCTGTAGTATTGTATCAGAAATAGGTATTTGTATTTGGATACTAATACTTATCTTTTGTTCAAGTACTGGGGGGTTTAATAAAATTAGTTGTAGAAATGGTTCACTCTTTCTGTGTCAACACTGTCAGTGTCGTAGTGCTTCTAAAGAGCTCTTTTGTTCTTAAGTTAGTGGAGTTAAAATGGACTTGAAGTTAGCAATTCTGTGTTACTCCACTGTGGTACTGCGTTTTTTCTATATGGAAGTTAAGTTTTAATGTTTTTTTTTTTTTTTTTTGAGTCAATAGTTTGCACTAAAGTTTGTTTCTATTAATATTGTGTATGTGCGTTGTATAGTGTATATGTTTGTGTATATATATGCACATGTCTTCTTTAGAGTTATGATTAGGATCTTGAAGTATTAAATTCGTTGCTCTTAAGAACCTGTAGAGAACATTTCAGTAACTTTATGCTCCAGTCAAACACCTAGAAAGATGGATATTATTTCAAGTTTAATGGGGAATGTGTTTATCTTGTGCATAAAACTAAATAATGAATTAGACTTTTGACCTATGAATTGAAGTAGTATCCTTTAAGCAGGATGCTGCTTTATGCTCCCCCCCCCCCCAATAAGCTATTGTTTCACGTATTGTTTTTGGAGAATCTCATTAGAATGTAAGTTGCCTGAGGGTAGGGATTTTATGTTATGCTTATTTGTATCCTTAATGTCTTACATCATAATGCTTCAGTAAATGTTAAGATGATAAGATGTCTGTTTTTTTTTCTGGCTTTGGGGGTGTTCATTTTTCTTGTGGAAGAATGATTTTACTCTGATTTTATTCGATTTTTTTTTTTTTTTTTCCTTTTACAGCCCCATTGACAAACCTTCAGATTCTCTCAGTATAGGGAATGGTGATAATTCCCAGCAGGTAAGATTTTGATACTGTTATCTCTCCATTTATCTGCTATTCCCCAAACAGGGCATTCTGTGTAAGTGAGTTTTCTAGATAGTAAAAATAACTTAAAATACTAAACAATTTAAAATGCTTTTAGTGGACATCTTTGTTAAATGTATTATAATCAGCCTTCTTTTCCTCCACAGAATATATAGAGCCTAATTTAACCCTTTCTTGATGACTCAAAATTACTATTGTATGGCAATACATTAGTGTCCTTACAGTCTGCTGATATTATTGGTCTTTTTGACCCTGCCCAAAATAGTCCCAGACTAGCATGCTTCCTGCATTCTCATTTTAAGAGTTGTTTCTATGCCATGTGCTCCTCTTCTCCCTTGCTATCAACTTTAATTTTCTGTTTCCCTCACTGTACTTGCCTCCCACAATTTTCTCCTTCCCCCAAATGACTGTGGAATTTGAAACAATAGACCAAATAGTTAAGTTCACAGTTGCACCCAAAATGATACTGAGTGAGGAGGTCCTGATCTTTAGAGTGTGCTTTGTATCATCTTAGCTAGTTGCTAGTTCTTGATTGGTTAAGGTTCTGAATGAACACCTTACATTGGCAAAAAAAAAAAAAAAAAATGTAGTTCTGTTCTTTTCCATAGAGTGCCCTGTTCCCCAGAGTGTCTGTGAGAAACTTAGAGATCTAAAATACGCTGCTTTTCCACAATTTTGGCTCACAAATTCCATAAAAGAATTTGAAAATCTGTATGTCCCCTTATGTATTTTAGGTTAACATTAAAGATTTTTTTCATAATAAGGTTAAAAAATTGCAAAGGATATAATGTCCAGCATATTGTAAATATTGGTATTTTAATTTGATCAAAGCAACTTATATAAATATAAATTTTGATAAAAATTAGTTATTAAACATAAACACTACAGTTATATTGGAAATTCATCTCTTATTGAGATAGGTAGGGCCATTTTAAATTAGTTTTCTTGTATCCAGAGATGAATATTACCTGTTGGTTCAAGGAGATGATTTTCAGCAGCAATCTTAGTCATGCTTTCATTTTTCTAAATGGAAGTGCTGAGAGATTTGTTGGTATAAATAAGAAATGAAAGAAACAGTATTATATTAATGTCATTCAAATCTTTAATTTCCTTCTGAATTAAATACCTAAAAATCACATAAAGATCTGTCATAAAAATTTTTATCATGTGTTTGGAAATGACTTGTTTAGATCTTCTTTTCGTTTTGTTGAAAACGAATGTATTGGGAATCACTTTGCTTGCAAAAGAATCCAGTCATTAGAGTCTGTAGCTCTCTCATCATCAACCTGTTTCTAATAAATTTTTGTTTGGCTCCCAGAAAGTTTTCACTCTTGGGCACAAAATACTATAGTTAGATTCCAGAGAGTGAGAAATATTCTTTTCTTCACAAAGTGAGAAAGTTAGGTTATAAAAGGAGAAGAGAATGGCTTACTGAGAGTGTCTTTTTTAGAAAAGAGTACATATGTAAGTTGATGGATTTTTTGAAAATTCATGCTCTCATAAAAAAGTCCTCAAGTACCCCAGTTTGAAGATCACTATTCTAATACCTTTTGTTGCAAGTCTTTTTAATTGTGGTTTATTAAAATGCATAAATTTATATTGAATATTCTTTTCCTGTTTTATTTAGATATCTAACAGTGATACGCCTTCACCACCACCTGGTTTATCAAAATCTAACCCAGTCATCCCCATCAATTCATCCAATCACAGTGCACGGTCTCCTTTTGAAGGGGCAGTAACTGAGTCACAGTCGTTATTCTCAGATAACTTTCGACATCCCAACCCTATTCCAAGTGGGCTTCCTCCTTTCCCCAGTTCCCCACAGACATCCAGTGACTGGCCTACAGCACCAGAGCCACAGAGCCTCTTCACATCAGGTATATAACAGAACTAGCGCGTGATAATAATTAGACCAAAATGAGTCCCTTCCTCGCTGAATGTGTTTTTATCCTTTTGTCTCCACTTTCTTTTTCATAAAAATGTAAACATTTAAACTGCGTGGAATTGGATGGTTCGATAAGTTGTATGACCTAGAACTTATTATGTGAACAGACAGATTTCTCTAGAAATGAATGATTAGATCATTTTTCCTATAATAAATAAAACCTTTCCTTTTTTAGGAAGTAGTAAGGGCTTACATTTTTAATCATATTTGTGTGTGTCTAATTAAATTTAAGATTTTTTCCCCAGCTGTCAAAAGATGTTAGTTTATATTAAAAGTTATATTTTGGCATTTTTGAGCCATTTTCATTTTTATTTTTTATAAGTTCTCTTATTAATGTGTAGGATGGCATAAAATTAACATTGACAATAGCACATACTATTGTCAATCGAGCAGACAAGTTTTTGAAAAACTAAAGATTAAATAGATACTTTTAAGTTGTTATTTTTTTCTTAGCAGTATATAAAACATTTTCAAATCATACTTTGTCTTTAAAAGATACTGAAAAAGATAAAATTTACTAATTCTGTCATGTTTGTTATTTATTTCTTTTAAATAACTTAGTCTGGGTTTTAACCCATTTCCCATTTAGGAAAAAAAAGTACAGCTCGCTGCATACATTCATTTAATTTGACATAAACACACTCTTTGAGGCGGAAGCAAATCTGACTGGTTTTCAGTGTGAAAATAAAATATAAAAACTGTTCTTGGAGTTATTTATAAACAAAAATGTGTACATAAATCGGATTCATCAAATGAATCTTTGGCTAACAACTGTTCCAGAATGATGTTAACATCACATGTAGGAATGCTACGTTTTCTAGGATTTGACATTTTCAGTGATCGAGAATTACTATATTTTGTAAATAGAAATACCACTACTAAAAACAGAATTCTGTAAATAGAGTGATGTAATTTGTTTCCAAAGACTATCAATATACTAGAGCGATGCGAAAATAATAATAAAAGTGAGATATTTCATGTCAAACTTTGGGGGTGAGGTTAGGATGGTAATCTGTGAGTTATCTCGGAGTAAATGCTGCAGCCACAAGTGCCGCTGAGGGAGTATTCTCAGGGTAAATAAGAAATGGGTTAATCGTGAATGGCCGAGTGTATATTTTGGATTTCAAATACTTTGTTTTCTTTGATTAGCAAAATCAGTCTGTATTGCTCAATTTTCGAAGTTAGTAACTTAAGAATGAAATCATTACTAGAAGTATATAAGCTCTTTTATAATTTTATAATCTGAATGTGCTAAGAAATTACACATATTTCATATATATTTGCCTTTATCTTGAATATGATGTTTAACTTTCACTAGTGTGGCTACCCATTAAATATAAAAGTGAGGTATATATTTTAAAGTCATCACTAATTTTTTCCCCAACAGAAACAATCCCAGTAGCGTCCTCTACAGACTGGCAAGCAGCATTTGGCTTTGGTTCTTCTAAACAACCAGAGGATGACTTGGGTTTTGATCCTTTTGATGTCACTCGAAAAGCCTTAGCAGACCTGATTGAAAAGGAACTGTCAGTCCAAGACCAGCCTTCCCTTTCGCCCACATCTCTTCAGAACTCCTCTTCACACACTACAACCGCCAAAGGTCCAGGCTCTGGATTCCTGCATCCTGCTGCACCTACAAATGCCAACTCTCTCAATAGTACCTTTTCAGTCTTGCCACAGAGGTTCCCTCAATTTCAGCAGCACCGAGCGGTTTATAATTCATTCAGTTTTCCAGGCCAGGCAGCCCGCTATCCTTGGATGGCCTTTCCACGCAATAGCATCATGCACTTGAACCACACAGCAAACCCCACCTCAAATAGTAATTTCTTGGACTTGAGTCTCCCGCCACAGCACAACACAGGTCTGGGAGGGATCCCTATAGCAGGTAGGTTCATTTATAGCCTTTGAGAATTTGTGAATAATTTATGCCTTCAGGTTGTTGGGTGGTAGGGAGGGAACTTTTGAATAATAGAATTCTTATCATTAGTCTTGGAAATTTCTGTGGGAAAACGAAGTCATCATTATTATCTAAATTTTTTTAATTGGGTGGATGCCTTGTAATATTGAGCTTTATGAGGATGGTGGAGTATTATACCTAGTTACTGCTTGGAATCGTTTCACTTAATAGGATAGTTACCAATCTTGCATATGGCCTATAAATACAAAAAGAAAAAAAATGGGCTCTGAAATTATGGTGCTATAAAGTTTAACACCATGGTAAAATTCTGATTATACATTCTAAAAGTACACTGGTTCAAAAAAAATTTTTTTTAAGGATGGTAATTAGTGAGAGCATGAGGGATAAAGCCACTCTCTAACTACTTTTGGCAGTTATTTATTTTGACTGATATATACACACACACATCAAAACTGTGATATATATTAATAAAGTACTTAATATTTGAGAACTCTGGTTATTAGTGTTTCACAGACATACGTGCATAGGTATACTTTCTGTGAAAAAGGAATTTGTTCAAGGAGAGAGATTTTCCCTTTTGGTCTGTCATTTTTATTTTGGGGGGAAATATTAAGTTCCTATAAGTGATGCCAGAATACTTCTGGTTTTGTACTGCTACCCTTGAAGGTTTCAGAACTTTTGCTTTTTAAAGTCCCATATAACATTAGATCAAGTGACTTCTGTATGTAAAGCAATCATTCTTAGTAATAGTCTTCTTTTATTGATTTCATTTGGGCTTTAGAGATGATGGTTAAAAGAGAGTTTGTTCCCTTCTGATTTCTCTCAAGTAGAATAGAATAGTCCCTCACTTATATCTAATTCATAAAATTTATTTTTATCCATTATCATAGCCTTAAGATATGACATGGCACATTATTTTGTTAATGTGCTGTTACCAGCAAGGTGTTTGTTCTCTTGTTTTTAGCAAGGTTCATACATGAATTTATAGAGATCTATCAAAATTCTTTGGCTCTAATCTCTTTGTAACCAACAGAATTTCATTTTTAAGGCAAGTAGGTGGGTCGAGAGAATATTGTTTGTGGCCGTTGATACAGTGAAGTTAACAGTTGATGCAGTGAAGTTAATTTACATAATCTTGATAACACTTAATGTAGCAGTTTGCACATCAGTGGGACTCATGGTATTTGTTTATTTGATATGGTAGGTAGTATATGATCCAGTGACATTTTTCAATCCTCTTTTTCTATATGGTATTCACTTACGAAACACTAAGTATTCAGTTACTGGTACTCCTTTTTTTCTTCCATTCAAGACAGCTTATTAGAGTGTAACTTTGTTTTGTTTTATTTTGTTTTGATAATTTAGAAATGTGGCATTGTAATTATTAGTGTATCTCATAATTGATTATAACATTAAAAGTTAAAGTTAAGTTCTAAATATTCTAAGCATTTAAAAATAAACTATTAAACTAATTACAATGAATATTTGAGTTGCTATTTGCCCATCAATGAACTAGGCCATGTGGATAATACGAAAGAAGTATAAAATATGGCTACTGTTTCTAGGTACTTAACAGTTTAGTTGAATAGATAAAAATTAAGATTATTTATAAAAGTGGTAACTGTGATACTAGAATCTGAGAGGCATTAATGGAGCTTATAATTGTTGGGGAGCCTTCTTTGAAGAAGTAGAAATGATCTAAAAAAAACTTTTATGTTGATGGAAATGCCTGAATAAAGGCATAGAGGCAGGAACTGCCTTCTGTAACAGGATGTGTTTCATGTATTGTAGAGAGAGAGTGGATGAGAAGACGGGATGCTCAGATAGCCAGGCAAAACAGCATGGACTTGATATGATAAGAAGGAGGATACCTTTGTAGAACTCTAGTTCTTAGCTGTTTTTATTGTGTACTTTTATTTGACTTTTATATGACCGTTATCTGTTCTTCCAGTTTATCATGTTGTCCATTAGCACAGAAAGAGCAGTTTTAATCCAGATATTTCAAGCCAGTAGGTGTTCTAGAAATGCCACAGCGATGATGAGTAATCACTACTTTATGAGTATAGTTGTCCTCGTGTTAGTCATTTGAAATCTTCATCTAAAGTAGAGAGAGACTTTATGAAAAAAAAATGTGGCATTAAATTATGGTCTTATCTTTGTGGATTTTCTTTTAACATATGTTCACCCATAAGCATAAAATACTTTTTTTCTCTAGAAATTCTAAGGTCACCAAATGTAGATTCTGAAACATTGTTGTATTTTGTGGGAGATGGGGAGAGTTCATTATTTCAGTTTTTTAGTTTTTGACTATACATACTTACTTGGTATTTAAATGGTGATTTGTGATTAAGGTTATTATTAGATTATTTTTAAGGCTCTGATGACTAGAGAAATTTTAGTTTTAAGGTACCAAAATATTTAAAATTGTTATCAAGAATTACTCAGAATCCTCTTATGGCCTATAAATATTTGGCAGATACCTCAGGAGGCTGAATGTGCTAAGCTTCAAAACAGAATAGCTGTATAATTGTAGCAAGATGATATAGGATTTTCAGTAACAATTAGATATGACGGAAAGTAAAATTCTGGAAAGCTGTGTCTAATTTGAAGCAATTTACTACCTAGACAATATCTGCCTTCCCCACCCCGAGTTCTAACTCAGTTGTACTTGAGTCAAACTGTTGAAATAGGCTCAACTTTGTATCCTGCAGTGAATAAATATCATGGTATCTTACACAGAGTAGCTTTCCTTAAGTGCTTCATAATGGAAACTGCTTTGGTGAGAGAAGCCATTTTAAGAGATGCTTAGACAATATTCTATGCTGGAAAAAGCAGGTGTATTTATTCTTTAGATATATAGAACAAAGTAGGGTCCCTCACCCTCAGGAGCAAATACCGAAATGTGTCAGTCACCTGCATATCATTTAGATACCATATCTATATTATATGTGTGTATTTAAATTTTTAGTTTTGCTTATTTCAGTTCATTATTAAAAATTGATATATCTGAAACCTACCATGGGAAGGATAGTTATGAGAAGTTTGACAGAAATGTGGCTTCCATTTCATTTGCCTAATTGAAAACATTTTTGTGTTTAAAATTAGCTATTAGGAAAAATTTATTTTAGCAGCGTTTTCTTGGCAGCACATTTGGTTTGTTAAGTTTAGAAGAATTTTTGAAATATTCTTGGGAGAAACTTTGATTAGTGGGCAGTTATAGTAAGTCCATTCAGATCTCTTTTATTATTGGAACCATGTGCTTTTGTTTTAAAAAGTAACTTTTCTGGTCCTAAAAAGTGACTTATCTTGTCTAGCTCCTAATTTTAGGAATGGCAAAACTGTGTGCCTAAAAGGTTAAATAATTTGTTAAAGGTCACACATTAAGTTAGTAAGAGAATTAGCATAAGAACCGGATCCCAAATTCAATAACTGAAATGTTTTTCCACTACAACATAGATGTTCTCCTTCATCAATGAAGATCACTGGCATGTACCTTAAGTTGGCTTTCTTCCCTTAGTTATTGATTTTTGCTCTCACACACTTACAGGTCTCTTTTTTTATCAACAGTATCTATTTGAGACAATTGACCCAGCTCAGGAATATTGCCAAATAGTTTGAAGTTTATTGACTTGATGAAAGTTAATCATCTGCTTAGTCCTCCTTAGGTACCATATTCTTTCTCACCAAAAACTCTAGTATCAAATTTCCTTTACACACCCTTATTGCTGTGTACTTGGGGTTTATAGAATCTCTGCCAGTTTACTGAAAAACTATAAAATAACCTGTTCTAAAGACTGAAAATCCTTTTCTTCTTGTTGTCAGTTAAGCTATCTTTCCAAATGTAATTTTGCAGATATGTTTTTCAAGGAATTCTGCCAAGATGTTTTTATTCCATAATGCTAAAAATTATTTGGAAAACAAATAATAAAATAAAATAGCCTGTAAGCATTGTTGTTTCAAGATATACTTAAAAAAGTATTTAAAACTGTTTAGGGTTGGATTTTTTTTCCATGTTTTTGATCATTCAGTTTTACTTATGAGAGGACATTTTTCTTTAAATTTTTTTTTGTTTCTGAATTAGCTCTTTTAACTGTGACTTGATTGAATTTGAGTCATGTGTGAAACAAGTCACTTGTAGTCAAATAATTATCAATTATAATTAGGAGAACTGATCTCATTTCATGTATAGTTCCCTTGACCTAGAAGTAGTCATCTCGCTTTCAGTCAATTGGATCATTGTATTGTGAGTATTTTACTGTTTTCTAATTACCTCAAAAGTACACATTAAATTTTCAGATGCTGTATGGTAATTTACTAAATTAATATATTTATATCTTTTTATTTCTCTTTTCTAAACATAATTTCTGCTTTTAAAACATGAATTTTATTTTTCGCTTTTAAAAATTACATTTTCATTTCTGTGAATTAATTTTAATTTTTTCAGAAAATACTACTCACTATTAGCAATATCTGTATTTTATAAGGGGTCCAATTGGCTTGGAAAAGAATGGCTTTCCTGGTCTCTTTTTATTTTATTTTTTTGTATATTTATAATTCTAAATCTATTATATTTGTTCTCATATCTGACATAGTACTAAATTTAAGGGTGTGTTTAGAGTGTAACTACTTTCTAGATACTTGATAAGTCAGTATTTTAAAATTCATGTCTTGTTTCACACCCGGATTCCAACCATTAAGCATGTGTTTTATATTTGTATCAATATTCCAGATATTGAAATCATTTTTAAAGGGACTGTTAACAAATCTAGTCACCCATAACTAGACCATGACTGACTTTTCCACAGGGGAAGAAGAGGTGAAGGTTTCGACCATGCCACTGTCAGCCTCTTCCCATTCATTACAACAAGGACAGCAGCCTACAAGTCTCCACACTACTGTGGCCTGACAACAGAACTGAGAGCAGAGGATTAGACTCTGGGGTGCTTGCATGGGCAACCGGATTTTTGCATGATTCCTTTCTGATTTTGCATTTAATGTATACACCCAAAAGAGCCAATATAAACGTTCCTCATGCCTACAACTAGTGTGTTAACTCATAGTTGCTGAAGTATTTCTTCTTTAGGCCTTTAACACAGTTTATTAGCATAATAATTTTGACATTGTTTCTCATGAGCGATACTATTTTTAACTCACACAAATAAACTTGTAGTACTAATTAAGATCCCAGATGAGATTAGCTAGAATTGTTATTTTGGCTCTATTATTGAAAATATACAAAGATAATGGTAGTTCCTTGTTTTCTGATTTGTGAAAAAAATGGTAATATCCTTATATACTCATGAAAGTTTGACAATTGAGAAGATAATGTCATATTGCATTTTTTGAATACTTGAGAAGAATACACATAAAACAAAATTGGTGGTGTCATTTAATGCTCAGAAGGATGTTGTCAGCAATTGTTTTTAGTTGTATGGATTTATATCCTATATTATGCATTACATGTTTAGAAACTGTTTTTGTTCTTTCTCATTTGCACATTTGCACTTTCATTTTGAATGGTTGTTAATTATATATAGACGGTTAAAAGATAATTATTATAGACTAAATGCAATATAATCTCTTTTCTAATGCACTGCCTAGTATACCAGGAAATGCCTCAGAAATAGAATTTCAACTTACAGTTGATTTATCAGAAACTTGAATTTGGGGTAAATGTATGTGAGAAGCAACCATAGTGTAACTTTTTTTTTTTTTTTTTTTTTTTTTTTTAACAAACGGTACTTCTGTGGGATCTGTTTGGAAATTTCATTGTTCAATAACTGAAATGTGATAATAAAACTGTATTACAAGTACCTGACCAGAATGAGACTAAGGTGGAAGAGAAGAGATTGGGGATCCTCTAAAATTAGGCCACGTAAGTTGTCATGGATAATTTTAGTTAATCACAGAATAGTGGAGTACTATATTAGGACATAATGTGAAGTGGTACTTTTGGATAATACAACAATTTCTTGCAATAGTTTAAAAACTGATAATGAAAGACAATAAACTGAATTCGATTCTGAGCAGTGGACAAAAGAAGATTCAGAAAACATGACCTGAATTAAGCAATTGGAGGAAAGGGGAAAATCAGAGCTCCTCTTGAGATTTTCAAAAAGCAATTATGACTTAAAAGATTTGCCTTAACTTGTTAAATTTAAAAAAACCAAAAAGCCTAGAGATTTAAAATTAAAAAACCAAAAAGCCTAGAGATTTAAAATTCTGACAGCAATGTGTGAGGAGATGATACTTAATATGTTGGATTGGAATTTTCAAGGTTACCTCTCTATATAAAGTTTGATTACTTTCTCTTAGATCTGATACAACAGATTAAATAGCTTTGTCCTGAGGTGTAGTGGAAAATTAAAATCTATTCTTAGATAGTCTTTGATTTGCTTAACTGAGAGTGGAGAAACAGCTACTTATCTAGCCATTTAAGTTATTTTTGTGAAATTCTGCATAAACGACAATCTCATTTTTTAGAAGTGACTTTAAGACAGCATTATAAGAAATTTAGAAAATATAAATAAAGTAGTATAGATTTATTAGACAGAAGCCTTTTATCGTTGGTTAATTATGGTTTTATTTTTGCTGTAAGAGGCAAAGACTTCCATTTAAGGTGTCCCGTGGTGGCCAAGGCTCTTGGCCTTTGTTAGCTTGGGCTGCCTGTATTGAAGCTTACAGGCACATAGCTTTCTCCAGCCTTCAGTACAAGCCTTTCATCTCCTGGATCTTCTCACAAAGACAGAAGAAGTTAACTCCTATTTACTTCTCTGTTTTGAGAGTTATACCTGTTATACAAGGATTCTTTCCCGTAGTAGCTTTTTCTCTTTCTCATTCCTAACCAGTGCCAAAAAAGTGTCACATAGTTTGCCCAGACTTGCCAGACCCCAGAACTGTCTTCCCTCCTGCCATGCGTCAGGACAGTGCTTCTGGGGCACTTAAGCTTCAACTTACATATTTTCACATAGAAAACTAAAGATTATCCTTTACCTAACTTTGTGATTCTGAGACTTTGTAAGCCTAAGAATACTAAACCTCACAGTTGTGCTTACTGAATATTTCAGATAGTATTTTTTTTTAAATAAAGTCTTAAAATCATAGTCATAATTAATTATACTAAAGTACAGAAGAAATTATATGTAGAAGAAAGCACCACTTCACATAGCAAATATATCAATGAAACCAAGTGATGGTAAAGAATGAGAAATTTTTTGAAAAAGCTTCATATTGTTTCTGATAAATTCCTGCATGTTTGATCTATCATGCACAAGGGGAATTTTCTATGCTTTTACATACTTAACCTTTAAAAAGTGACTGACTAGTCTTTTCCTTCAGTCGAGAGTTATACCTGGAGTCCAGAACTTTTTGGACGTACTTACAAAGTTATAAACTTGTGTGTATGTACATCTGTCCGTTTTTTTTTCAGGGGAGAAGATCCATAGTTTTTTGATCTGTAAAGGGTTTGCTGACACCCCCAAGAAAAAAAAGGAACTTCTGCCTTGAAATGTTTTTAGTGCCACCCTAGAAACTAGAGACCTAGACCAAATGATTTTAGTCATGTGATGAATGTCAGATGCCTCTTTATTTCTTAAAGATTCCATTAGAAAATATTTTCTGATTAATAGTACTTTCTTTTTCATTCTGCTATTTTGTTTTTCCAGGTGGTGTTTTTATATACTCTTCCCTTATTTCAACAAAGCATTAATGAAATATTTGAGTGCCTATTCCGTGTGGTGACTTGAGCTCGATCTTGAGGAATATAAGATTGTGTAAAGTACAGACCCTGTTATCAAGTGACAGTTTTATTTCAAATTATTTCTGTAAGATCGGCTCTTGATATATCTTAACCACAAGGACAGCCGCAGTAGTCCAAATGTATTTCATTATTTATCAGTCTGACAGTGGCAACAAAAGGTATTGAATACTAATATTTGAAATTTTTAAAAATTAATAATTTGGCAGAAGTAAAAAAAAACCTTAACAAGGAAGACATACATTCATTATTCTAATTTAAATATTTCTTAGTCGTGTGTGTATGCTCATGTCTCTTATTCTTAGCATCTTGGAACTTAAGTGGAGCTTTCTATATATGTGTTTTTTAATGCATTGTGTCTGTCACATTTTTACTGACATGGCTCCTATTTGTACGGTTTTCCAAGCACCTTCAAGACTGCCTGAGCCCTCCTCCGCTGTGACACAGATTAATAGGGAGCCACCCGCACAGAGGCATTGCCTCAGAAATCAGAAAGGCAAGAGAAAGGAATGAATTGCAGCTGCATTAAAATCTTATAGAATGAACACCACTGTGTTACTTATGCATACATAAAAACTGTGGGGCATTTTTTCCTGTGCTGAGTCATAAAGTTTTGGATTTTTGTTTATTTGATCAGGAAGTTTCTCCAAATATGTTTAATTGGCTTTAGGAAATGGACATCGTACAATTGAAAACAATAACTTCTTTAAAAAATTCTTATATATAAAGAGATGCTAACCCCAAATATCACATATATGTCTTTTTCTGCAAAATGTGACCAAAGTCAGTTATCTGGTGTCAAGCCAGCCCTTCTGCCCTTAGTGCTGTGCCTCTCTCCTCTCAGCCTTTTTATCTGAGTACTTACTACATTGTCTCCTTGTGCTGAATTAAAAAGGCAGTAATAGATGTAGGTATCACACATGAAATGTTTAGTGAACTAATCAGACACTATGCTGATACAAAAATAAGAATGGGAATTAGAGAAAGAAGCTATTGTGAGCTAGTTCAAGGAAAGACTTCATTAAAAGTATGGGGCTTTTTTGTTTTGAAGGATGACTGAAATTTAGGTGATGAACGGGGGCAGAGCGCAGGGAATACAGTACAAAGAATAGATTTGAACAAAGAATTAGAGACAGATTAGCTTGATCTGTAGGGGTTAGGAGGAAGGACATTGAGGAGATGGACACTTATCTGAGGCATACAGATTGTATGAAGGTGGGACAAGTGTGCAAAGACCTTGAAAACTAGGAAGAAGACTTTAATCTTGATGTGGATGTGGTTGGTGGTAGAGGACTATAGGGTCTCTGGTAAGGATGTAACTTGATTGCAGCATTTTAAGCAGATTAATTTGGTATATGTTTGCTTGAAATTAGGACCAGTTAGAAAGCAGTTCTAGTATGTCATTGCTGCTGGCCAGTGCAAAATAGATGGCCTGAACTAGAACAATAATAGAAATGGAAAAGAAATGATGAGTTAGAAATCAGAAAAGATGAGATCTAAGGAAAGGCCTTTGGGTTTGGCTAGGTCCCTAGTGACTTTTAAAAATGTAACTTTCATAGAAAGATACAGATAGAAAGCAGATTCATAGGATTCCTGAGGAAGTGGTAAGGGTATGGATGTAGTCAGTAATTATTGACTGCATACTTAAGACATTTAGCAACAGAGGGAAATAGAAAAACAAGATGCTAACTAGATAGATTGGTAGATCTTAGAAGTCATTGCTTTAAGATAAGTGAGATACCTGAATATTTAAAGACAGAACATATAGAGCCAATTGAGAGGAAGACATGGAAAGAGAAAAACAATGCTAACTAGATAGATTGGTAGATCTTAGAAGTCATTGCTTTAAGATAAGTGAGATACCTGAATATTTAAAGACAGAACATATAGAGCCAATTGAGAGGAAGACATGGACAGTGCTGAAGAGAAGATAGGTTAATCAAGTAGGATAACAGATTTCTGTAGGTGTTTGGGAGGAGGTAAGCTCCTGAGATGGGGTTAGGTTATGGGTTTAGCTTTAAAGGGGTAGGATGTATTTCCTGTTACTTGTAAGAACAATCAGAAAATCTAGATGAGAGAATGAGATTAGAGAAAAAGAATAGATGAAGGGGCTTATATCAGTAATTATCAAATGTATATAGTTTGGGGATAGGGGTGAAAGAGTAGAGTTGGGAGCCTGTAACGAAAGCAGATGAAATAAATCTATGAGAATAAGCCTGGAAGTGCATTGGAAAGAAATTAACAAATTGTTGAGTAAAGACAAGGATCAAATTTAAAAGTTTGAGAGTCTAAATATGTATGGTTTTGTATGTTGCTCTGGTTGAACACAAAGCATCAGGAGTAAACAAAGCAAATATTGAAAGTTTGGTTAGAAGTTGAAGAAGAAAAGACACAAAGTTATTCAAGAAGACAATATTGAAATACCCAATCTTGTGGTCGAGAAAAGTCTAGTAAGGCAGGGAAGAACCAGTGGTGTCAGTGATTTTAGATTTTGATAAGGACAAAGAGCACGGGTATGGCGTTGTTAAGGGAACAGATTAGGAGACTGGTTAGTGTGATGGCCGCTTAGTGTTGAATGATGAGTGAGGACCAGAGAACGGATGGTAGATAGATATCTTAACATTAGGTCTGGGGTTCGGAAAGTTTAGCTTTCATAACCCCTATGGTCTCTTCCCTTCCTGTTTTCCTGCCAGTCCTTGAGAGTATGAAGTTAGACTGTATGAAAGAGAATTACAGAAAGCATGGTATTGCTTGGGGGACTCCTGGGTCAGGTTTCCTCTAAGTTGATGGCAATCCAAAAGAAAACTTCCCTCAATAGAATGAAGAGTTCCTTCCTTGAAACTCGGTAGGAGGTTGCGGAAGAAGGGGAAGGCCTGGGAAAAGCTAGAGATGAGATTAGACAGGTGGAGGTAAGCCCGGTGAGTGTGAGGGATT